GGAACCTCAATAAGTTAAGCTCTTTCTTACTGTAACCTTGCTGGCATTACTGGTTTAGCCATTGTGGAAGGGGCTTGTTAGCAGTAGGAAAACTGTTCCTGAGTGCAGCTTTAAAATCATAATGCAGGTTTCAGAAATAGAGACTCTGGGAGGGGAGTGGTTCCCATCCATTTCCAGATGGAGGTGATCACAGTTAATCACTGAGCATCCTTATGAACTCAGCCAAATCACTGGGTACTAATTTAGTTTTAGTTCTTAACTCCTCTGTTGTGTTCATCAAGTCCAATTGAATTTATATGTTAGGTGGGATTTGGTTGTTTCTCCTTCCTGAGCTGAGAGGAGCTCTTCTCCTGGATGTAAGTCAGTGTGAGCTGTTGTCCTCTAGTCTGGAGATGGGGAGTGGGGGCTCTGTAGCAGAATTGTTTGTCACATAGGTAATGGAGATAGTGAGGAACCTCTGTGGTGATGGATGTCCTTGTTGCTTATATGCAGAGATTATACTTTCACCCAGGCTTCAGCTGAGTGCTTATTCACCTGTTTGTGTGATCCCATTTTCATTCATACAAATCTGGACGATTGAATGCATTATCTGAAAAATACATTCTCTCTTTTTGTGGGCACGGGAAGAGAAAGTTTTCTATTGTGAAAAGTTAAATCATCACTTTGGATATTTGCAGCTGTTCTTGAAATCCCCTCTTATCCCTTGTCAGCAGAAGGGAATCCTTATCCTGTTTCACAAATGCAGTGTCCCCGATAAGTATCTCTGCTTGGCATGCTCCCAAAGGAGCTTCTTCTTGAGGGCGGAGAAGAGGGATGGCTGGGCTCACACATGTGCTCACATGGAGGAAAGGCAGAAGTTGCAGAGGAGTCACAGACACCCCACTGTTTTGTGGAGAGACAGGAAATCAGGTTACATCCTTGCAAAGTGGAGTCTTCAAATTTCCCTTGGCTAGTTGATGGTGATCTTGGTGGTGATGCTGTGAATTTGGGCTATTCCCCTGAGGCAGCCTCCTTGCAAATTGGCTGGACTCGAGAGGAAAAGCAGTATTACTCTTGAGTTTAAAGCAGTTCCTGGGGTTGCTCAGCATGTAGAGGAGTTTGCTGAGACGGACACGACTGTAAAAATCCTCAGCTCTTCTAGCTCAGCCTAAAATCCACAGGGCAGTACCTTCCTGAACTTTCTCTACCTTTACCCTTGTGTCCTGGGTTTTGGGTGCTTGAGGAGGCATGTGAGAAGCCAGGCAGACCTCCACTCTCTCCACTGCCTGAGCCCTGGGCTGAGCTTTGGAGTGACCCCTGAATTGCACTAATTTGGAGGCCATGCTGGGAAGAGGCACTGAGTGCCCTGCCTGCAAGGTCTGAGCTGTGCTGCTGTGGGCTTAGCTTAGCTTAGCTTAGTTTAGCTTAGTTTAGCTGGAGAGCAGTGGTGTGTGTGGCAGGCAGTAAGGACAGATTTTGTGTTTGTGTCGCAGAATGGTCAGGGACTGGGCTGGGAGCTGGTTATTTTTTATTTAGCAGTTATGTGACCAGTCCTTAAAGGAGGGCAGCTTATGATTCACCCTGTGCATCCTTTTGCCTTTACATGAGCAATGCTTTTCAAACAGGGTTCTTGATGGCTGGGGAGGGGAGTGTGCTGAGTCAGCAGCTGTTGCTGCTGCTGGTTTAGACCCTGGTTGGGGGTGTGAAGTTATGGGGATGCTGCAGGCCATTGCAGCCTTCTCTGCTGGCTGCCCCTGTGTGAGGGAGGACCTTGTGCTCTCATTAGTGCAAACCAGCAGCATTTGAGCCTGGTAAATTTACTTTCTCTGGAAGTCACTCGATTGGAAACCCTGGTTCAGTTGAGTGGGTGACTGCTGCATTTGGGTCCTAAGCCCTTCAGAGTTAGATGGGCCCACTCAAAGGGAGAGAAATCTTAGGAATTGTCTTCCTTGGGAAAAGCTCCTGAGGGAAGTCTGACTCCTCTGTGGTTTCCATAACAGCATGCTGAGGTGTCTGCATGTCCTAATGTCTTACTAATTTGCCAGTGATGATTTTTTTTTTGAGTTATTTTAAACAGGCGCATTGTGCAACTAATGGGCTTTTTATTGGTGGTAAACAAGCCGAGCTAGACAGGAATGCTGCCGAGGCTGGACTGGCAGGCTTGCCTCTCAGTACTGTAGAAATAACTTGTTCGGTTTTTTTCCTTAAAGAGGGAGAGAGAACCTGTGGCTTTTCTGCAGCCTGATGCTCCTACCAGCTTCCCCATGAACAGCTGCTCTGCACCTCATGGTCTGATTTTTGTGTCTAAAACTGCTTTCTGCATTGGTTGAAGGGACTGTACCCTTTGGTGGGAAGCCAGTGGCTTTGCCCACACACCGTAGCTGGGTGGTGCAGGTCCCAATCCCAGAGAGCAGCTTCCTGCCAGGCAGCGCCTGGGATGCTCAGGGCTGAATGCATGGAGCTGGTGGGTCTCCATAGGGGCCGTGGAAAACACCCTGTCTCTTACCTACTACACCTCTTGCTTGATGGGGTCAAAACTGTGCACACAGAGCATTTTCTCACTCCTGGAGGGGAGTGAGGGCTGGTTGGAAACAACTCCGCTTGGGAGAACGCAGGCACTGCCACAGAGTGTGTGGGCACTGGTGGTGCCTGGCAGGGCTCGGGCAGTGCTCGCTGCGGGGCTGTGCTGGGCACTGCGAGCTCGGGGCTGTGTCTGGCCTCTGTCCCTGCAGTGTGTGCCACCACCGGCCAGGATAACCTCAAGTGAAAAGTATCAGACTTCAGTGGCCAAGAAAAGAGTGCTGACCTATTTTGGACACTTATTTATATTCAAGTTGCTTCTCTCTGTCTCTGTGAAAAAGCTGTTGTGACTCCAATAGTTTTGAAAAGTTTTTTCCCCTCCCTTAGCTTTTGTTTGGAACAGGATATGATCTAGGACTAACATCTGTATTTTTCAGTAGCCAGAATAAATGTCTTATTATCTTTTATTTTTCTTGTTGAAACAACACTTTTATGGAGCAAAACCAGTTTTGTAATACAGCTAAGCATTTAGTTGCATTGTGTCTCAATTTTTACAGGTTCTCCTTTTATTAAAAATCTTTACTATAATTCCCAATTTTCAGACCAAAATAGAAAAACGTTGGAAGTATATCACTGCTGTTTCTGATTGTGAGCAACAAAAAGTCATCTAATGTAAAGTCACAAAACTTATGGAAAACTGGTTGGGTTTTTTTTTTTTTCTTTTTTTAGTACAGTTTCCTTCTGTCACTTACTGGCTGGATGAATTTGCTGGAATCTTGATCTTCTGAAGGATCTTACTGGTGAAAATGTTTTGGGTGTGGTTTTTTTTGTGGTTTTTATTCTTGTTTTGACAGCTATTCGCTAACTTTGTGTGCTGCAGTTCACAGTTAATTTCTCATGTTTTTTTAAAATTGAAACTGTAGTTTCTCTGACAAAATTCTACTATTAGAATAATCATTAAATCTAAGCAGCTTGGTCAGGGTAGCTTTGTGCACTAACCCTAGATGGATACTTGTCATCCTGTAGGTTTTAGGATTTGCAATTCTGTCAACAGTAGGAATCTAAGTTAGATGCTCAATCAGCAAGAAAAACAAAGGCAGATGCTATGAATAGTCATCATTCATCCATATAAATTATGGTTGTATCCATAATATTGTATTCCATAATTTTTTCTGCTTTAAGGTTGGAGGGTTTGTTTTTTTTTTTTTTTTTTGTTAGTGTTATGGTTGGATTTTTGTTTGTTGGCTTTTTTTTTTTTCCCTTTCTGTGTGTCTTTAAGACATGAAAGAGCAAGGGTGAAAAAACTTGCTTTATGGAAATTGCAAACCCTTTGGGTTCACTAGCTGAGCTTGCAAACTCACTGAGTAGTGCCAACCTTGCACTGAATTAGCTGTGCCCTGTGCAAGTGCATCTACATGAAGGTCATATGCAGCTCCCAGAAGGCCAGGGGGAGCCTTTCCATAATCCTTGCCTGCAGCTGGATTTGATCCAAAGTATATCTGAAAAAGATCATGGCAGTTTCTTTGCTGAACAGAGTTTTGGTGGCTTTTGTGCTGTCACTTCTGTGTTCTGTCTTCAGTGGCTGACATGAAATTTGCAGTTTGCATGCTCAGACAGACACACGGCCACTTGTACCCCGTGTGTGCACTGAAATGTCTGTGTGCATTGATGTGGCTGCATGGGATGATCCTGTTGCACCATGGCAGAAGGGCTGTGCTGGCTCCCTGGGCTCCCTAGGCTGATGGCTCTGTGGCATCAAGTAAAGCTGCTCCTTGAGCATGGTCAGGCTGCAACTGTTGCTGCTGGTGAGGTAGATCCTGTGCAGGGTTTTGGAGAGAAGGACTACAAATTTGCCTATTCCTAAACTACAGTTTTCCTATTCTGGACACACACAGAAATGACTGTTACATTTTCCTTGAGTCCAACAATGATCAGTCCCTTTGCACTTTGGCTTAGTTATCTTCATCATTGCTGGTGGTCTTGTGCACGTGTGGCTTCACACCTTACACACCAGAATGTCAGCAGGACAAATTTTTTATAAAGTTACTGAGGAAAACTTATGATTCCATATTGTCAGTTCCTTGGAGACATTTGGATCCAAAGCTGAGGCTTGAGTGTTGTTTCCCTGTGGTGCTGCCACCATATTCGTCTCTAAGCGGGAATACTGATTAAATTACAGTGCACCTCTGATAATGTGCACATATGGCAACTCTCTGAAGTTTCATATTAATTTTTATTTTTCATGTGGTGAATAATCATGCTCACACATCCAGAGGGTTGAGGAAAGAACAGGACACAGTAATTGCTGGATATGAATTTCAAAATTCCCTGTGGAAGACTGTCTAATTAGATTTAATGAGCTGGCTGGTGAGCATGCGTGTGCATGTGTGCTTTCACCACCTCTCTTGAGCCAACTGGATCAGAAGTGCTTATGTGTGTCCGAGGTGAACTGGAGGAGTACGTGGAAGAGATATTTTTATACTTGGAGAGTGCAGGTTTGAAGCAGACTTGTACCTGCTTTTCTCATGTGTGTGCTGTAATGAGGGACTTCCACCGTGGAGGTGAAGCATTTGATAATGCAGGTGATAAATTGGAAGTGACTTTGATGTGGTTTCAGCTGCTTAGGTGAGGAGGGATGGGAGCAGAATATCTGTATCTGTGGAGTTGTTATCCCTTCTTCTGTAATGTACTCCTCAGAGCTGCTGGTGCAGGGGATAGCAGAGCTACAGCAGGTCACAGGATGTGTTGCCACCGAGCTGCCAGAAGAAGGTTTTGAATTAGCTGGAGGCAAATGGTCAGTGAGTCTGGGATTTCTGTGAGTGAGGTGGATTACAGCCATCAGGTTTGAACATTGCTGTGTGTCTGATCTGCTCTGCTGGCTGGTTTCCCACCCCTCCTTCACTGGACAGGGTCCTGAATTGATTGTGTGCAGTTTGGCTTTTTTGCAGGGGTCATTGCCATGGGTCAGTGCTCTGTTTCCAAGAAGGACCAGAGTGAGTAGAGAGCTGTGCTGAGAGGGTGGCCATTTTAATGAGGGGCTTCTGTGTGGTTTTTTGTTTCTTTCTTCCTTTTTTTTTTTTTTAATATTAATTAACCTTTGTTTTCTGTCAAGAAAGTTGTCCTGAAGCATGACTTAGCAAGGCAAACATGCCTGGACAAAGGAAGCATTAAGCCTGCACAGAGGGAGGGGAGAGGGTTACACCTCTAATTACTTTGTGTGCATGTAATTTTTTTCCCCTCTGGTGACTGATGGGTCTTGAAAGGACTTGCCGGGGTTGGTGTGTGATTCACCAGGGCAGAGCGTGTTCTGGGCTGAGACTGCCGGCTGTCTAGCCCTGGATGCCAAGGGCAGGCGATGCCCTTGTGCTGGTGTTGCTCACGCCTGAGTCAGCACTTGTACAGCACAGCTGCTCCCCAGCTGGGGGCCAGCCGTGGGATTCACTGCTCACGCCCCAGCCCAGCTGGACAGGAGGATGCAAAGGCTTGGCTCTGCCACATGAGCACTTTCTGGAGTGGGCTGGGGTGAGAGCATGTGGAGCAACATCTCCTGGTTAGGAATGTGGGTGCTCAGGGCCATCCTGAGTGGGTGTGAAGCACTGAGCTGCCAAAGTGCTTATGCCAATGAAGGGGCAGGAGAAGGAGGCAATCCTGAACCCCTTTCACACATCCCTATCTCCAAACAGGGAAAAAGGAATCAGTGCTCTCCCACCCTCTCAATAAGCAGCAGCCTACAAACTACCCAGCCTGCCACCCTGTCATTTTCTCTGGTCTTCTTGCCTAGTCCTGGAGCCCATGGTGGATACATAGGCTCTCCTGAAAAAAATGGGACCTGAGATTGGCTGGGTAGGGAGTTAGAGCTCATGATGTTCATGAGGGAAAAGGGGAACTGAGGTGAAGGAGAAAAAATGGGTAATAAGCAGTTGTGGGAGTGGTGTTCAGGGAAGAGGAGGAGAAGCTGGGGCTGTGAAGAAGAAAGGAGGAACTTGTGGAGTGGGCTGCAGTCCTGGCCTCAAAGCTGATGGATTAAGAGGGCTTGGCAGAGAGTTGGGGATCTGGTTTTAGGCAAATAGTGTAAAATATGTGGAATTCAAGGAGGGAGCTCCAAAGCCAGTGGGCTTGGCTCCTAAAGATCCCACAGGACCGAATGGATTTTAGTCGGCTTTCTGTAAAGGTTTTCTCTTTCCCACTAGTTTTTGGATCCATTGACCAGCTCCCTGCTGGTGGGGTGGTGCAGAGGTCTGACCAATGATTTTCATCTTCAAAGTTTGGTAAAAATAAATGACCAGATAGAGGAAGAAAAGCCCTGTTAGTGTCCACTTGGAGAGGAAGGCTGCAGCATGGGTTCAACTGGAACATGAGACATCAGGGCATCTGTGTGGGTGCTTAAGGGCCAAGATGCGCTCTTTGGCAATACTGCTCTTGAGATGCCTGTCTTTGGGAAATGATGCACTTTATGCATCAAAATCATGGAATCGTTTAGGTTGGAAAAGGCCATTGAGTTCAACTATAAACCCAGAACTGCCAAGTCCTCCACTAAACCATGTCCCTAAGTGCCATATCTTTTAAATACCTTTAGTGGTGACACCGCCACTTCCCTGGGCAGTCCATTCCAATGTTTGGTAATCCTTTCTATGAAGAAAGTTTCCCTGATATCCAATCTAAACCTCCCCTGCTACAGCTTAAGGGTATTTCCTTGTCCTATTGCTTGTTGCAAGAAGGGCCAGAAGAGATTATTTCAGAATTCTATTTGGCAAATGGAAAAAGCCTAACCCTTTCATGGCAGTTGGGAGATGCAGGGGATGGGACTCTTCCTGAGCTGGATTCCAGATTTGAATCCCGCAGTTTTAGATGTGGGGTTTCCCTCCTTCTGGGCATGACACTCAGTAAGTTAAGTATATCTTACTGCTGGGACTTTTTTTCCAGTCCCTTTCTTTTTTTCACCAATTCCTCTTTCCTGATGCTTTCATAAGTCTCAGTGATGCCTTGTGAAGGCTGACGTAGAACAGAGGCTAGACAGAGTTATAGAATAAAGTAGGTATTTATTAAAAGGCCTTAATGGATACACCTTGGGCAGCACAAGAGCCCAGCCAGGGCTACACCCAAGATGAACCCAAAATGGTCAGAAAAATGGATGAACAGTCACGAGGTCTCACACTTTTATAAGTTCTGGTCCATTTGCATATTGCAGTTCATTGTCCAATTATAGCTTTAGGTTATGAAGTCCCACCCTTCTTGTTTTTCTCACTTCATTCTGCTGTCGTTAATGCTCTTGGACCTGAGATTTGGATCATTTGTCCTTGGTCCCCAGCTAGAGAAGGAATTGTTTTGTCTCCCTACTCTGTGAAGAGAGCTTATGATCCCCTAATATGAAGCTCAGAACTACACACTAAAGCAGTACAGCATCTGAAAAACATAAAAACTAAAACATGAGGCATCATCAGTGACTTAGAGAAAATACTTTTCATATCTTCCTTCCTCCCCCTGATGAGCATCTCTTCTATTGTTTTCACAAGTGAAAAATTGTCTCTAGCAAAAGTGAATGAGAATCTTTGCATTTTGAGCAAATTCTTGTCCTGCCAGGGTGGGGAAACCTATCAGTATCAACTGTTTGGTTGGTTCCACCAGCTCTTCTCTGCTGATAGAAGATCAGCTGCATCTTGCAGTTGAGTTTGGTTTTGGTTCTGTTTTATTTTATTTTTTTGTTAAAACCAAAAAACTCCACAAAAAAAACCAAATACCCAAACCAGCCATCTGTCTGGGAGCTCTTTCATTAAATGGAGCTGAGGGACCTACTTCAAGCTACCTCTTTTGCAGGAATCTCTTTTGGCGTGAAAGGAATTATTCATGCAGTTACGCAATTCACGATGAATTTTCAATTTGTCACAGTTTTTCCCTGCCTCCTCCCTTTTGTCCACCAGCCTAACTAGGCTCCTGCTGAGTCTCTTCATTGACTGACATGCTTTAGCAAGAGTTCTAATGTGTAGGTGTAGTCCTGATCCAGCAGCCCTTCATGGAGTGAGGTGTTGCAGTGCACAATGAAGTTCTAGATTCTTCCCAGTTTAAGGTCACACCTTCTGAGAGGAAAAGCCACCATCATTTTTCATCATGAATTCTTTTCTGAGAGCCTGTGGTTGCTTGGTGTCTTGGCTTTCCTCCCTTCATCTGTGTGGGAAAGCCACAAAGTGGTTCACATTCCTTGCAGGAAGAAATCTTGGAAGCGGAGGACTGTGTGATCCTCTGCAGTCACAACCTGAAGTGTGACTGAAGTGCACAGGTACTGGGGAAAATCTCAGGAGCCTTCACTTCATGCGTATCTGCTCAGATGGGTGGTAGCTGAGCTAATGTTTCATTTTTCTCAAACAATTTCAGATGTGGGATGGAGGTGTTCACTGCTCATCCTGATGTAGGGAGCTCTGCCACCTTCAACAGGAACATGAGCTACTGTTGGCACCAGTTAAATTTTAGAGAGGAGCCTGCGTGTGCTGCACATCTGTGGTGGGTTGGTCCTGGCTGGATGCCAGGTGCCTACTAAAGCTGCTCCATGGCTCCCCTCCTCAGCTGGACGGGGGAGAGAAAATAGAAATAAAGGCTTGTGGTTCGAGATAAGAGTAGAGAGCAGTCTTGCACCACTGCTGCTCTCAGGGAGTTCATGAATGTGCACCTAGGTGGGATGGCAGGGAAGGCTCCTCCGGTCCACTCACTCTCCCTGCAGAACCTGGTGTTTGCAGAGGATCTGCAACAGGAGCATGGGGATGGGGTTGTCCTGCAAAAATGGTGAGTATGGCTCCTGAGGTCTCACAGTCACTGTCACATGTTGCCCCCTCCCCTCTCCCCAGGGGAGAATGGGTCAATGGGGTGGTCTTGTGCTGAAGGAGCCATGCAGTGGGAGATGCCTGAACAGCACCAGCATGTTTAGTGAGGCAAGTGTTTGTGGGATGTGGATTTTCATTTTACTCCTCCCATTCATAATATTCTGTTTGGATCAGCGATAGGAATTACAGCTGATAAAGCTAGCTGTTGCCATTAACAAAGCCATTTTCTTTCAAATCCCTAGGAGCCCCAGCAGAGAAAATAATAAAAATTCACTTGCTGTTCATGTTTCCAGGGTGTTCATGCCTTGGAGATGCACCAAGATGGAATAAGAAGATCTAAGGGAGGGTAAACACTCCTGGGACTGTGATCAGGAGTATGAAGATCTATTCCCAAAAAAATATAAAACAAAATATAACAAACCCAACCAACACTTCCCTGAAGACCACTTTTGTTGCTCTCCTTTGGTGCAGGCCTGCATTGAACCTGGCCCCCCCATCCTTCTCTGTGCTGATTTCTGTTACTAATTTCTCTTGCTGCAATAAGTGTTAAATCCCAGCTGCTAAGCAGCAGGTCTGGGCTGTGTTTCAGCCCCCTCCTCTTTCCCAGGAGCTGCTGATGTGCCTGTGCTTGCACCCTTCATGCTGTGTCCTCCATCCTGACACAGCTTTTTCCTTTCCTCTCTTTCTCTCACTTTTTGAAGGGTTCAGGTTGGAGGTGTGATGTGTGTGGTGGGGATTTTTAAGGGATATATCTGCCTTGACAATATTCC